CCACCCCACCACCACCCCACCACCCCACCACCCCACCACCCCACCACCCCACCACCCACCACCACCACCACCACCACCACCACCACCACCACCACCACCACCACAGTGATCACGAGCCATGTCAGAAATGTGTCGAGTCTGCCAACATCATTCGGCCTCGTTCCTTTCCTCAGCCTTAGATGTCAGAGTTACGGCGTTCAGCGAATCTCCATCGTACCTAGCGACCAAGCCTGGTTCGTGGCTTGTGGAGACGTTTTTTGTCCTCAGGCCTTCGCCTACCAGCAAGGCCGGCCCACCGGCCTCCCCGCAGTTTGCCGGGCAGAACCTGCAGCCACGCGGAGGGCCGGACGCTTATGCGCTGATGCAGCTTATGCTTGTTTTTGTCCATCTTCGCCTTCTGAAGCTTCAGTCGGCTTCGGTACCATTCAGAGGCTTCAGAAGTGGATACTTTCTAGCGAGACTACTCGAGGGGTTCAGGTGGTTCCAGGTCTGGCAGGGGTCAGGGCGCGACAGAAGATGGAAGCCAGTCTGGCATCTGCAGCCGTGGCACTGATTAGATTTTCGGGGGTTTCTGGCGGAGCAACCGCATGGGAGTTAGTTGCAGCCATGATCAGAACCCTCGTGCGACTTATCCAGGCAGATGTCTCCGACGATGTCGCCACAGCACATGCAGCAATTCAACGCTCAGGCCCAACACTTTCAGCAGTTCCCACCTGCACAGCAGTCGCCCGGCATGGCGCAGCTGCAGTCTTACGCGCAGAACCAAGGACAGGCACCATACCCACCCCAACCAAACGCTCCATTTCAACCACAGCAGCTGCAATCGCAGCCGTTTCAGCAGTTTCAAGCCCAGTATCCACCACAAGCATCCATACCAGCGCCCCAATTCCCATCACAGCAAATTCCACCACAAGTTCCGCCTCAACAGATGCAGCAGCAGCAGCAAATGCAATCGCCACAAGTGACGCCACAAGCATTTCAGCAGCAGCAACAGCAGCAACAGCNNNGCAACAGCAACACCAGCAGCAACAGCTGCTGCAACAACAGTTTCAACAGCAGCAGCAGAACGTACAACAGCACCAGCAGAACCTCCAGCAGCAGCATCAGCAGCACTTGCAGAGCATGCAACAGCAACAAGATAGCATGATGCATCATCATCATCAGCAGCAAATGCAGCAGCAACAACAACAAGCGCAGCAACAGCAGCAAGCGCAGCAGCATGCGCAGCAGCAAGCTCAGCAGCAAGCGCAGCAGCAGGCACAACA